ACTTCGAGTACATGGTATATACAAGTTCATTGTATTCATGGCACTGCGTCTCAACGCTCGCTAAACCTTTCTAAAGCTAAGGAGGTTGCACCCAGCGAGTATAACGTAGCAACCTTTTGCTGCCAGGTAGTGCTCAATGTACATGCGAATGACTGCTAATGGGGATCGCAGCGTGCGCGTTAACTAAAAGCCGAATGCTGCTATCTCTCATTTCTAATTAGCAGCCATTATCATGTACATTGAGCACTATTCTTCTGTGCGTTGTTGAACAATAAAAAAAATCTCTCACCGGCACCACCTTGGAGGTCAAAATGTTATACTTATTACATACTACAACGGCTACAAGGCACTAACGGGGGCCGCTATAAGGAGCTTCGCCCCTAAAACAGATGACAGTGTGAGCGCTAACTTCCAACTCTTGTATATTGCGTACCCTTACAACACATAATATAGCTCATTCCTCGTGACACCTGCACTCATGACAAAACCATAAACGTGTGGCGCAGCACACGTACCAAGAAAACCCAGTTGCGATCTGATATCAAATTAACAATTCTATATCAACGCTTCACAGCAAACGCTCAAGAAAATTGAGCTTTTTCTCAGATAAGGACGCAGACGGTGTACTCACACACAGCTTCGCATATTTTGCGATAGCGTTCGCCTCAATAATTCCTTGCGTCAACTCGTTACGACTGCGGCCCAAGATTACACACGCTCAAATCGAGCTGCGCTAAAGCAATATCATTTTATCATGCACCAACTTACCCAGCCAGCAGTACTTGTGTTTTTTATTATTATTCCGCGCCCGTTGAAATTCGGCCTCGCCATGGCCAGGACTTTGCATTCTACAGTCAAAGGAAACGTCACTGGACACAACATCCCGGGTGTAGGAAGAAGCTGTTTATTTGTACTTGTGCATGCATACTGCATTCAGTAGAAGCACTGCTCAAATTAGTCACCATTCCGAAGAGTTATCATGTCATGTTCAGTTGGTGACGGTGGCACCTTTATGAACGCTGACCGATTTGTGGAAGCATGTTTTTTTTTTCTTCGGCTTGCCTCTCGAGACAGATTGACACTCTCGGCGAAAATGTTCAGTCTTGTTAGCGCATCAGACTTTGCTACTGCTGCCGTAGAAGGTCTGCGTGCTAGCTTCAGCCCATTGTACAGTCATATCTTATTATTGCGATAGCAATTAATGGACACCGCCGGCTGGATTCTGCTATAGGCAGTCGACGTGGGCGTCGCCGTCACTCACCATATATGTATACGTATCTATATATGAAAATGCTAGAAAGAAAAAAAATCCAGAAAAAGACTCCGGCGCGTGCAATCGAGCCTGGGTTCCTCTGAATCGATAGTACGAGGCTGTTAAGCACTGAGCCATCGTGAAGCACATCCTTCAACGCTCCAACACCAACAGCAACCTATCTATATCTACCACTTGCCGCTGCTGACGGGCATCTTGGGGGGGGGGGGACGATCCTGTTTCCATCATTACCAGCAAGGTGGTGCAATGAGCGTATGCAACATCGTCACGACGCGGTGGCCGAGCTATATTCTCCTACGCGTTTTTCTTTTATTTTTTCCCTCTCTTTCTCTACCCCCTCTGTCTTGCCCCTATTTCCCCACCCCCAGTTCTGGGTAGCGAACCGGATGCCAATATGTGGTTAACCTCCTGGCCTTATTTTTTCTCTATCACTCAGTGGCTTGGTAGAAATTGATTATACAGACAGGGCGTGCAAACACGCGCAAGAAAGAAGTGAAGGCACCACAAACACTGACATATTTCTTGACTTCTTTCTTCTCTCCGTGTTTGAACACCGTCTTTCTACAATAAATTTTCAGCTATCTCTGCCCTCAGCTATTCTAGACAATGAAATGTAAAGTGATGTTTTCTCCATCAATCAAGTTCTTTCTCTGTCACAATAAAGTTCTTAGTCTATCTGTCTGTTTTCTCCGTTAGGCATAGTTTAACATCTCTGTAGCCTCAAATACCAACCGTTGCACAAATATTGGGCTTGATAGTTTGTACGAAGGTACAACCTTGCCTTTCTTTCCTTCCTTTCTTACCTTAACCGCCTTGCCTTTCTTTCCTTCTTTTCTCTTTTCTCCCACTGCTCGTTTATTGGAGGCCACAATACCTACCTTCGTAGTACACCCGACAAATATTTTGTGCATTGCTTAGCTCTCCCGCAGTTCCCAGGATCGAATCCCGGCTGTAGCGGCTGCATTTCTGATGGAGGCGGGAATGTTGTAGGCCCGTGTGCTCAGATTTGGCTGCACGTTAAAGAACCCCAGGTGGTCGAAATTTCCAGAGCCATCCACTACGGCGTCTCTCATGATCATATGGTGGTTTTGGGATGCTAAATGCCACATATCAATCTATCATCATCATTGTCTAGCTCTTGCGGAGACTATCGTTTCTGCCGAGAGAACTCACTGTTACCCCACAAAAATTGAGTCATGCTTCACGCTTTCGCAGCTTTCGAAATTAGTACACCTGCCTTTTGGCTAACGTCCTCATGTAAATGGCATTGTGATGGCCTTGAGAATCGCCTTCATAGTTGAGCATGCCGAAATCCAAGGTGTCCACTTTCACATTCCTCACCATTCGTTTTGTGTGTTTATTAACACGCTTCAACGCAGTATAGTTGCAGAGGTAAAAAAATCAGCAATGACTGAAACATTATTTTACAAACAATATTTTTATTTCTTCCCAAAAAAGTAGCAACAGCATACTTTTTCAACGATTTACTACCCTGCTCAACACATAGCAGCCACTGTTTTGCAAATTACAAATGCAAACATAAGGGCCTAACACACAGAAGCAACAAAATATTAACACATAATTCGCAATGTTGTGCACAATGCGGCTTGGTGCCTCTCTACGTATAAGTACAGAGGGCGCATTGAATAACAAAACACTGGGGATTTCGTACAAAACAACAATGTGTTGTCATTTCAAGTGTTGGATACAACTGTTTTTCTGTTGTGGTCAAAATACAGCAAAATACAGTATCAACGACAGAGCCTAGTCAGAATTCGTGGCACGAACACTTATTAGAAAGTCATAAGAGAATCCAATGTTCTTTGGTATTCTTGCATGCGAATATGCAGATTTTGTGTCATTTAGAAACGTTTTATACTGTACAGCTGTAGTTTATTTTCTACAACTGATACTGATACTTGATGTTGGAGAAATTATTGTATAATGCACATCGAATCATTAGCTTTACTTTGCATTTTGCCTTGCAATTTTCATCCTAATTATTTTTTTACAGTATACATGCGCATAAGCGGCCAAGTTATGCCACTCTCTTGAATCCTACTTAGTCCACTTCTGGGATTGTTTACGGACATATTTTCCCAGTTTCCATTTTCGTAATGTGAATGATAAATTAACAATTATTCGGTGATCTTAAGCAAGCGTTCTTATCAGCGCTTGTCAAATATGTCCACCGCCTCCATGCTTCAGTGCGTAGAATGATCGTTTTGTCTAAAATCCCCAGTTTTCACTAACTGCTCAGAACTGTTGATGAACAAACGTGGTACATATGGAGCTCAGCAATAAAGATTTCTTTACAAGGACAACAAATGCCGACCCTCTAGTCGGCTCAACTACAGCGTAATGTCAGTACTAAATAATAAAGAACAGTAATAAAAAAGACAACATTTCATGAGAGTCACTACAAGATGTGGTTGTCGTGTTCCTTCATGTTTTTCGTCAACATGATTTACACAGGGTCAACGCTGCTTTGTGGCCCTGCACTTCTCGAAAACGGGCAGTCTCTCGAAGAGTTCATGCAAGCCCTCGTAATCTCCGTTGCGACTAGGAAAAAAAAGTGCCGCGTTCCACAACATACTCGGGAAATAGACATGCGCAATTCCGTTAGCGGGCTTCACAGCCAACTGACGTCTCCAAGTCGGCAAAGTGGCTGACTTCACACTCAAAGCACTGTAGGAGCTGATCAGTGGCGGCAAAGATTGTGGCAACACTGGATGGCTCAAATGGATTCGCCACGCTGCACGCTCTTGCTTTCGAAGCTGTTCTAGCGGTGGATTATCAATCTTGGATCGGTGAAACTTGAGGCGCTGAGCCCAAGCGTATGCAATGTACTTCTTTGTTTTGTTCGCAGTAAAAACTGAGGATTTATGTTGCTGGTGGCACGGTCGGACGCACTGCAGTAGCGCTCAAACTGGACTGTATCCATCTGCGGTGAGGAAACATTTTGAAAAAAAGCGCACAATTTGTTCCCACACGCGTACGCTCAAGGGCTCGACACAGTGACTGGGATTCGCAAGAAACTGCACAATATATTTCTCAACGCCGACGATCCAAAGGTAGATCCTTAGCCTTACACTATTTTCTTCGGGCTCTTGTCTCACACTTGAAGGTCATCTACACAGCGTCAGCATGTCCCTTCTTCGGTGAGTGATTCCAGGTTGGTAATACGAAAGTTCGGCACGGAAGTTGTTTCAACACAGCGATGGCTTGCGTTCTCTGAACTAAGAACTTTTCCAACAGGCAGATAAGAACATGCGGGTCCAATTTCTTTGACGCCATCCTTGATTTGATGCTGCTACGTCGTCAACGACTACGCTTGTAGCTTTTACATGTTGGGGCTTCTAGTTCAACAATTCTCCTCATTTTTTTATATATGATAACAACAAACGCATCTTCCCTTCAGCCACTTGACACAAGGGTTTTTTTACACACGATTGGTCGGCGCATATTGTGGTTTTGAACCTTTAATGTTCTAAGAATTCCTAGGGTGTATCCTCATCTTCCCCTGAATAAGACAAGTGGAACAGTAGTATGCCATGACTGATCATCTTGCAAACCAGTTGAAGAGTTACTTAGTTGTGATATCAAAGTATTCACATAGGTTTTGTGAACTTTTCATGCCTTGACCACTGTGATGGTCCTCGAGCCTGTACAACCAGCCTAATAGAAGAACGGCGCCAATGAAGTTCTCAGTCCTGTCTATAGATGATGGTCCACATGTTAAATTTACAATTAGGGGGCCGTTCTTTTTGACGACATCACTTAGGTGTCTGTGTGCATCAGTGCTCCTAATGAAGGATGAAATTGGCTTTTCTTTGGCTAATACAAACTATCAGCCATTCGGAGCATTTCGCGATTTGAGCCTTCCTTCGTTTGCTGCAGCACACGACTGATTTCACTGCGATGACTGTTGAAAAGTGCGACAAAACGTGGTCTCCGACGAAGCAGTGGCTAAAGGGCTTCCAGCGCCCGACACTATCCCGCTGTGCAAAGAACACGCTCGCCTTTGTGTCCTACGATGCACTCTGCGATGGGGTCCGTGGCTTCACCACTCACGCAGCGTGACATGTGTGGTTGTGTATGGTTCTGGGCAAACGAAGAGTGAACGAAGCCGTGGTACGCCGTTCTTAAGCCACTCATGCCTTTGTTTCCACTCCTCTTTTTGATGGCAACTATCGGAGCGTAAACCCTAGAAACTCGCGAAAGCAACAAGTCCCGAAGACAGCAAGCGCGAGCAACTCCGCAACCCCACTACGTACACGTTCACCTTGGCCCACACTTCGTAGCCGCTCACTGTGCAAACGTTCTCAAGGATCTGAACTTCAGCAAGCTCGATTTGTCCCTCAATCGACCGGCACAGGACACCCTAGCTGCCAGGCAGCTAGGTTGTTCTTGAGAAGAGGTGCAGCAATGCCACTACTCCTAGAATAGCCGTCAGCGCAAGGGCCACCCTCGCGGAACAGCCGCTGCAGCTGGGCTCGTCTATGCGGTATCCGGAGCAGTGTGTGGACACGAGGTAGCCGCCGGCCTTGACGATGATGTCCTCGGCCAGCTCGGCTGCTTCCACGTCGCAGCGCAGGAGCACGGCAGTCTTGGCGCACTGTTTGTAGCCGTCCATTTGGCTACGAGAAAAAAAGAGAAAAGAAAGTAATACAGCTTCGCATTTGTGGTGCCAAGCCACAAGGAAGTGCGAAGCCGGGCAGCCTTCTTGGTTTCTTGCTTCTCTCCCTCTCTCTCTTTATTTCTTTTCGCATTCAGATTTCCCTGCATTTTTTCCTCCTTATTCCTATTTATATTTATTTTCCACCTAGTTTCCCCTTTATTTCTCTATTTCTCGCTTATTTTGTTTTTATTATACGTGGTTTAACATAAGGAGCTCCGCACCTCTTATAATCATCAAGGCACTCGAAGAACAAGAGGAAGAATATTTCTCTTTATTCTCAACGTTCATTCCAACGGCTATGCTGTATGTGGCTTTGCCTGCGTTACCCCAAGCAATGACGACAGCGTACGAACAACTGGCGCCTTAAAGTGCTCCGCGAAGCATTTCATGCACGCTCCATTCAGTTGCTGCGGATGCAGCGGATAGCATCAATTTATTTAAGGAGAACAACTAAGGATCTACTTTTAAAATCATTACTTACCAACACGAATGCCGAATTTTGTCTTGAGCGCTGATTGCCTGCCCTTGGAGTTCGGCCCGCTGAGCCATATAGACAGAAGCACATTGGTTGTAGTCGTCTTGTAGTTCTTTGTAGCACATGGAATGCTTCAGATAGGCTGCATACAAACAAGGTGAACAGTTTTTTTTTTCGTAACTCATTTTTTATAGCCGGCTTTGTGGTGACCTTTATTCCCACTTGTCATCATTCGATAAATGAACTCACAATCATAACAGTCAACATCAAGGTCATGAGGTAGAATGCTGAGCTGAAAGTTAAGCTGAATTCACTTTTTGCCATATACATTGCTAAGCCCGCCATCTACAGTGATATGTTCGCCATATATAGTGCCACATTCTTTCCTCAAGTTGTCATTGCCCCGTTACACTGTCAGTAATTCTCAGCGCAAACCACGCCGGTAATTCTCTAAAAGCTTTAGGGTTGTAGTAGATCGTTTTGCTAAGATTACACACCCACTTCACGAACATTAGAGATTATTCTGAAACCTACGCGACCACTAGCGATAACGCTACAATATTCAATGGCACGTGTATAAATGCCAACGCGCTTCACCTCCTGTCAGTTGATCGGCGGCCGACGTTCTGTTCGCCGCTATCAGTGCCCGTGTCTAGCTGTAATGCACAAGTTCAGCCAGATAAACAGTTTCATCTAAGCATCCAGTCTGCTCCCTTTGCCCGCTTCCCGACCCCGTGATAATAGTTTGAGCCCTTAAGTGCTTTAAACATTCTATTTGATTGATTTATATGTGGGGTTTAGCGTCCCAAAACCACCATATGATTATGAGAGACGCCGTAGTGGAGGGCTCCGGAAATTTGGACCACATGGGGTTCTTTAACGTGCACCCAAATCTGAGCACACGGGCCTACAACATTTCCGCCTCCATCGAAAATGCAGCCGCCGCAGCCGCGATTCGAAACCTCGACCTGCGGGTCAGCAGCCGAGTACCTTAGCCACTAGACCACCGCGGCGTGGCTTGAAACATTCAAAATGCTATAGGTTTGGCGCCCTTCATATCATAACACCTACCAGAAGGCTGTCGAGGTTCCACCATTAAGAGAACCGCATGCGTTAGTGGATGCCTCGTAGTTCAGAAAACAACGAATACTTACCCGCCAGTGAAAATAAATATAAGTATGACGTGAATTCGAAAAGCGTATTAATGTTAACTTGGGGCCTAAAATTAGTTCATCCAGCTGCGTTCTTTATACTACATAACTTGACACGCTTCTTTAAATTTTTTTTATGGGCATACAATTAGACACGTCAAAGAAAGATAAGAGAGGAAAGGAAGAAACCAGTAGAAAACAGAGGACTAGACAGTTCTTAAGCTAGATGGCTGTCCTGTAAAGAGTTAAGTGGAATGAACGACAACAGAACAGAGACGCTCTTGAAAAATGAAAGCGCCAAAGAAAAATAGGCACAGGGAAATACGACACTGCCTGAAGTTTGTCCCTAAAACCAGTTGTTCGTAAGAAGCGCAAGGTTTTCAAAGTCTTTTGTTCTGGGGACACTTTCGGGCGGTGTCCCAGGATTCTTTCTTCCAACAAAAAGTGCTTGTCAATTCTGTCTCACACCTTCCAAGTCTCTTTTCTAGGAGCACAAAATGAGAGTACTCATGCATGAATCAACAAGAGCAGTTAAGGGCAAGGACACACTGTCGAGCAAGAAAGATACGCAAGCAGATAGAAAGAGAGACACATGCTATTTGACAAAATTGTCATGCATCAAAGAGCATAGGAAAGCTTACGTGCATTGCTTGGTCTCTAGAAGCGTAAACAAATATATGGGGGGAGCCGTTCATAAAGCATTCGCATTCAATAATAACATGGAGTTTTACGTCTGAAAATCATAATATTTAGCGGCGTCGTATTCATTGGCTACGGGAATTTCGACCATCTGGCGGGAATTAGCGTGCGGTGGCATGACACATTACACGAGGTTCTGGCGCTAAACACTCGACCTTCGAGTCAACAGTCGAGCACTGTAGTCACTAAACCACCGCGGCGCATGCAGTGACATCTATACATAACTCAACATCGACATATGTATCAGTCAAAAGCTATATAATAGCGTGGTTACCTGACGACATAACTGAGGTCACGGCTTTGACAAGAGTATATATACTTATCTTCGTGGAACCAGCATGTCTACCGTCATTCATTATCCGCAACAGCAACAGGACACTTGTAAGCACGAAGACTGGATAAAGAAATCGCATAATTTAATAGCCCAGATAAGCAATGTGAGAGTGGCCGAGTACTTACTGAGCCTGAACCGGGAACCCTCCCGGCAGAAGTCCTCGATAAGTTGAGCCGCGCCACTCGTAAGCCTCCTGTAGATTTCGCGCTGCTTTTCATTAAAGCAACGATGGGTAAATGCGTTCACGCAGTCCATGGCACCGGTCAAGTGGCTGCACAATCCACGAAAACGCACAGAGGCGTATAAGTCAAGCACGTGCACAAGCGCCGCCGCAAATCGTCGCGACACAATCTTAAGTTGTTTTCCGTAGTAAGGTGTATACATAAAGCAACTGTAAACATCTTTTACATTTCTGAAGTACAGTTGTTCCATACATTGTGGCAAAAACAGTGCAGACAACGGGACGCAATACATACACAGCGCTGACTATCAACCGAGATACTTATAGTGAGCGCTGTGTTTTCTATGTTCCGGTGTTGTCCTCGTCACGCTGTCTGTGCTGCTTCTGACACAATGTTCATTAACCAACTTGACCACCCAAGAACACCTGTATTGCTTTCAGGCACTCTCATCAATTGAAGTCAAGATTAAGTTTCAATATTAGCTCTGAATTCTTGTCCGGAGCTGCTCGATTGTCCACGCAGTAACATGTGCCCATTGTTTTCCCGCTATCACTTTTCACCAGTGGTAACTCCTCAGCTAACATTCTTTCTTGTGTTATATGTTACTAACGAATGGCTCAGTATTTATGCACGGCAGCAAGCGTCTTCCACGCACTAAACACGTGTTAGATAAAATTACACAGCTTCGTTGAAGTTTGTTCCACCCTACAAAACACAGATATGTGACTTAAATGACAAAAGGGAAATTTTAGGTAAAAAGAACTAATGGAACAAGAACTAACTGAAAGGAAATCTGTGGATACTATAAGGGACGTTATTATTCATTTATTTTTATTTATTTATTAATACTGTCAACCCTCGTTTGAGGGTCATAACAGGGAGGGAGTACAATAGTGAGTACAAACAGAAAACCAAAACAACTGGCACTCAAATAGTAATGCACACAAGAAACCACTATTGACAGTAGTTCACTTCAACCATGACCAAAATAAGCATCAATATCTCTGTCAAAAGTAGTAGCGATGGTAAGTAGCAATCGTAGCAAATTAATAGCAATTGTATTGTAAACGTGACGAAAGAAAAGTGGTGGAAACGATAATTAGGAACGACCAGGGACAAGTTTTCTTTTTGTCCAGTTTACTGTGTCCATATTTACATAATATATAGTACGCAACACATTCTATGTACTTTGTTTGGGGTTCTTCCGTGTTCATATTAAGATATGTGACTTGTACGTTTATGCGCAAAGCGTTATTGCAATCTGTGTATGATACTATGCTGTTCTCCAGTGAAATCCAGAAAGGAGTTGAGTCGCAGCTCCAGTCCGAGCACGAGTGTTAGAAGAGCACACGCTGCAGAGGAATGTGCGATATATACTGACGTGCATATCTGCCTCAGCTCCTCCTCGGTGGTGGCGAAGGCGAGGCTCCTGTTCTGCGAGAGCAGGTCCAGCTTGCTCACGCACGCGGACACCACCTCGTTCTGGCACGAGGCGGGCTCTTTGTTCGTTCTTCTCACGAGACTGGAGCCACTGCCGCTGCTGGCGACGCCTCTAGAACGGACGGTTATCAATGTGGAAGCGGCCCAGCAGCCGCCGCCGTCCCACCGGCAGCAGCACAGCATGGTTACTGCTGCAGTGAAACAGACAAGAACGTAGACAAATTGTTAGTTCCTAATCATCTGTCCACTATCTGCATCGTACCGGTAGAAGGAGGTTAGGTAACTTCACTGACCTATCAGCGCCATTTATATCACAATAAAGTACACTATAGGTGGATAGTGAAGTCGAGGTTTCAACGGACGCCCATCTGGTAGATCAAAAGGACGCCGACCATAAAATAGAGCTCGAAAAGAACTGTTTCGGTTGTTCTTGCGAGAGCCTTGCTGACAATAAAAGCAGCGACAAGTGAAGCGATGTTTATGGTGGCTTTAAAATGTGACGAATGCAGTATGTAAATATGAGAAAACGTTTGTCATTTAGGCGCAACGTTTTACCATTCGATTGATTTCCATTTCAATGCCTTCCTAAACACTGATCGCTTCATTCGTCGTCATCGTCGTATTGTTAACAAGGCTCCCGTCAGGGGAGACGAAACATATTTTTTCGTGTTCTGTTTTATGGTTGGTGTCCCCGTTTTAGTTTTATCATTAGTAGGGAAGCTTTTTCAGGTATATGATTTGCTGAATAGCACATATAATGTCTTTTTTATTAAATGTATTTAAGGAAGGGTTGGTGCCGAGATGCAACTCCAGCTACTCACTTCTCCTCCATAATAATTTGCGTCATGAAGTTGTGAATAACCATAGAGCAATACAAAATTTGCGTATTTAGATGTCCTTAATAAAGTGCCCCTGTGGATATTTCTTCTCTGTGAACATTTAGGACATGTGAACAATGTTGTTGACGAGTGAATATTTTTATGGTGCGTGAACGTCACTGTAAGGGATTAGTCTTGGTACCTCTGTGTGAGCGATGAAAAAACAAAAATAACATAGTTTTGCCGTATTCCCGCCAACTATACGTATCGTATGCGCTCTACCGTCTTATTGATGACGAAAAGGTGGGCCACCTAAAGTTACTGTATATGCTACCTTTAGGTCACCGAGTTGCGCCTTTGATTAAACTCGCTGCTCTCACCCCCATTCGCCCATCGCACTCACGTGCACAGAAAGCAGTCTGTTTAGAGAAAGTCGACTCAGTTTAAACTTCTTTCTCGCTACAAGGAAACAAAATCAACGAAGAACAAGTGAACAGCTGTTATTTCGCGCTTGTATTGTCCCGTACTGTTGCTTTTTCTTTGTCGATTTGGCTATGTATACAAGCAACTTGCCCCTACCCTGGTTCTTCTCGAAAGTTAACTTCCCCGCGGCACGTGTGCTAATGACTGCTACGTCACTACCATTGCTTATACTCCGCCATCACTGTCCCAAGTAGTCCAGCGGAGTAATGAATGTTTTTCCTTGGTGCTGCAATGATGTCTCCTGTTGCTATTTTCGCTATACATCATTTCTGTTGGTCCTTTGCGCCAAAAAAAAGACTCAACAAAGATCTTATAGTGGAATATTTCTGCTAGTAGAGTAGTCAATAACAAACAAGTTATGTATGACTATTCACTGCACACCACTGTATATTTGAATGTTTACCTGACTAGTCTCACAACAGCATATCACAGTTTGAGCACCATGCAACATAAAATTTGTGCTATCTGGCATTTATTTTATGCGACATCTACCTAGATTTATTTAGAACACTCGTTAGCTTGGATTATTTGTAAAACAAGGAGTGATATTTTAGCAGTTGTTTTAGTACCACTCATTATTTTCTCGTGCCACCTACTTTATATTTCAAAGCAATGCGTCAAAAACGTGAGACAAGCAATTCACTGAAATTAATTTATTCTGAATGGTGTCAGTGAGAGTTTTGTTATACCTGTCTAATAAAACAATTCAAACGACATATTGCTTCTGATAGTGGGATTCATCGAGAAAGTTACAGCCCCAGTTTCATCTAAAGTGATTGCTCGAGTTTCCCCCCCCCCTTTTTTTTTCTTTTTTTGAAGCGCAAATCTTTGCGCCAGTGACACGTTATTAACGAGCGAAAGGCACACCAAGTCGCTGAGCCGTACTGGCTCCTTCATTTGTCAAGAATAGGTTTCCTGCTTAACGTGCCGGGTGCCTCGGCAAACAATATGGCGGACCTATCCGCAAGTCCCTCTCCCGTAGGGAGCATGTACAATAACTGTAAATCAGCCTTATTTGTGGTGCCACTTGGCGACGCAGATATTATCAAGGTTAGCACAGAATCATTTGTACAGTAACCAAGTGTACTCGATACTGTATCATCGTCTTAACAATAATTATTTATCCTTAGCCTGCGCTACTCCGCTGCAGAACGAAACCTCTCCCAGTGATCTCCTGTTTACGCTATGCTGTGACAGATTATTCTATTTTATCCCGGCGTTCTTCCTAGTTTCGTCTCTCCATCTATAACCCTCGACCTTCCCCGCCAGCGTTTAATTCCAATTACTTGGTAGCCATTCTTTACTGCCTACCGGTTGTATGTTCTACGCATTACCTCACTAGTCCAGATCCTACCCCCTCCTCTTTTTTTTTTTTTTTTGGCTTCATGTCAACTAAGATATTTGGAACTCCTGTCTATTCTCTTACTCGTGCTGCCGTTCTCCAATCTCTCGATGTTATTCCTATCATTCTATGCTCCACTGCACGCTCCACTGCACGCTGTGTGCTCCTCAGCTTTTGTGCTAGTTGTTTTGTTAATCTCAGTGTTTTAGCCCCATACGTCAGACCTCGCAGTATGCAGTGGTTGTATGTTTCGCTTCAGAGACAGCTGAATGCGCTTCAGCCCATTCGTGTTCTTCGATTAATTTCTTTTTCGCGATTAGGTTTTCCCGTGAGTTGTAGTTCTAGGTATACGTATTCTTGTATGAACTCCAATGTATAGTTCACGATCCTAAATTATTTTTGTTTCACAAAGTGATTCTATTGTATAAGTACTTTGTAAGTATTAGATGCGTACTTCATGTAATTTCTCTGATACATTGTAATTACGAATGCATTACTTTTTTCATTAAACGCCCCAACGGTGAGACGAAGCAGCTAAAGATGTAAATACCATCATCCGCTGATTCGCTATTACCCAAGCACCTGGTGGACCGCAATACCAGACTTACTAAGATTGTGTATAATGGCTATGCATGAAAGTATATATCTGATTAATGTTTACTGGTCTTGATTACAGGTTGTCGCAATGGCTGTAATTAGCAGTAATCATGCATTCCTGTCTTCTCAGTAAGCGAAAGAGAAGTGAGAAAACGATAGGTTCCAAAGTTGAAAGTTAACTTGCAAGTTAACCACAGCTGCAATCTGGTTTTGTTCCCAAGTTTGGAAGTGTAGTGCTTGAGCATTAATGAAATAAAATATAATTATAATTACTAGTATTATTTGGCGCGCGGGGAGGAGGGGGGGGGGAGGGTGGCGTCGCAAAAACACTCTTTGATTACAAGAGCTAGACGCGGAAAAGCTAAAAGAAAATATTACCATGGCCATGGTCATATGCCACGTCGAGTAGTATATGTAGAAAACAAACTAAAACAAACACGATTCAATGTGTTTTCTGTGTGAATGTTGGCTTGACGAGGCTTCAAGCCTCGATGTCTATGCAATAAAAAGTGGCCTAAGTCTTCCCGAGAGATGAGCTGAGTGCCTGTCATTTAGTCAGTGGAAGAAGGGTCACGGTTGATCTATCTCAGATGCATCGGCGTGTCTCGCTTAGGTAGACACCTCATATCCGCCTTAGATCTACGGTGCAGCCATGTTTCTGACTTGGGAAGTCTTTCCGTCCATACTGCTAGTTTCTTCACCACCTTCACGTGTCACTGATGTATTGGCCACGACAGTTCCTGAAAGGCATTCTTTAAAGGCCCAACAGCACACACATAAAAAATTGAAATTACGCCAAGCAGTGCATCTCGTTGATGGTGATAAGCGAAGTCAAGTAACCTCAGTGGGCTGAAGAATAATAACAGAGAAAACGTAATAGCAAGCGCTGCTAGTTTCAGGGCTAGCCTTAGCCTCGTGAAAACCTGGCAGCATCGGCGACATCACCGGCCTCTTGGGAGGCAAACGCTACCCGCTGGTCGTAAAACCTGCAGTCGCGGGCATTATATACCTGTCGGCGAAGAGTTGAGGTGGCGATGTACTCGGACTTTTGACAAGTAGTCGTTTGGAAGGGAATCTAAAAGTATGAATGTCGGAACAGCGTCTCACTAAAAATGTGCAGCTGTATACAAGCAGCAAGACAAAGTCCTGTGGTACCGCATAAATTTATTTACGCTAGACAGTTTTACTTATATGTTCCCACGTCCGGACAAGCTTTTTTTTTTATTGCTGCGTGAACTGAGGTTTCGCTATGAATGTTACCACAATACAACAAAGATTTTGGAAAAGTACAGTTATGAAACAGAATTTACAGTAACAGTAAGTGCACCTAATAAAAAAATTGCAGTGCATTATTACCACCGGAAATTGTGATGCAAATACCTATAGTGCTGTACGCAGGGTTGATAGCGGAGAGCGCGAAGTTTTCAAGACGTGATAATCTTTAAGCTGCTTACGTATGACTAAATTCGAGTGAACTTACCGGGCTAAGCGCATCATGAACGACTTTTCTGTACTACAAAATGGCCAACACTACAATACTACAAAAGTAGACAAAAAAGTTTGCGTTGTAATTCTAATGCGTGGTGCTGTTATGAAAACCATTTAGGCTAAAGCAAGACAACGCGTAAGGAAGACATTTCACATTCAGATATGCTTATATTTTTGTTTAGCTTTTGTTATGCATTTGCATGGAGTATACCGCAAGCAAACCGAATGAACATACGATCACAAACTATAGAGAGACATTCACAGGCCATCACTCACTTTTTTACCTAAGGTGTTACTACACTATTTTATAATATTAATATGCGTGTTTTTACGTCTCAGAACCCCGACATAATTATGACAGACACCACAGGGAAGGGCTCCGTATGTTTGGACCACGACCTGCTATATAAACTTCCGACCTGCTCATGGCGTCGCTCCCCCTGTCACCAAATTTGCTTTTGCT